GTGATAACGTATGTAACTGAATCCGACGCCTCGAGCTCCAGGCAGGCGAGGAGTAAGCGTCTGAGAAAGCTTAAGAAGCGTTGCGTTAGTAGAAGGGGGTCTTCGTGATTTAGCTTGGCAGATCAAACCCGCAAGGAAGCTCGAGGTGGCTATTGGCAGCTAGGTTGCAGAACAACATTTTATCACGAGAAACTTCGTGATCACTAACAGATTTCTAAACGTACGAGGGAGTTGGGTCACCAATGAAAGATAAGCAACCCAGATCCCTTAACAGCAAGGCAGAACCCAAACCGCAAAATCAAAGAGAAGAGAAAGGATTGTAGGTGAGAGCGGGGAAAGGGAAGCCCGAAACCCCACCCGAAACCGGATAGGGCAACCCGAAACCCGAACTGTTATCCAGGGCAACCCGAAACCCGAGCTGTTATCCAAGGCAAGGCTGTTATCCAAGGCGAAGCTGCAAAACAAGGCCGGAAGGCCCCATTAGTGGAGAGGTGGCTTCCTTAGAAAAAGGCAGAAGTACCTTAGAAAAATACTGAAGTTCCTTAGAAAATGGCAGAACTTTCCTTAGAAAGTGTCCGAGGGCAAGCGAGATTTTGTCCTTAGATCGTACCCTGTACTACAGGGCCTGTAGCCTTACGATTTACCTTTTAATTGGTGTCCCAATACTTAGGGTACCGATTTGAGAAATCCAGAAGATCACCCAAGACTACAAGAGCGTCATTGGGTGCAGCCGGATAGGCTCCGGAGAGACTAGAACCAATACGGTTGATTGTAGTTAAATCAGTCCACTCGTATCCTGTGGTAGATCTAGACTCTCCATTATCCATCTCAACATCAAGCCTTGAAGATAGAGACATATTATTAGTAATAATAATACGAGTGGGAGTTAATAGGCTGAAACAATATTATCACATACAATACAATGAACACCTTATCATCACTTGTATCATTACATTAGCATAGCATAGTAGCTAGCCTAGACTTTAGCACAGCTTGTAGGATATTGTGCAATAGGGACGATTGTGGAGGGTCATGAGTAGAGGAGAACAAAGTCCTAGTCATTAGTAACCCACTCGTCACAGAACAAGGCCCGCAGTTTGATGATCGATGGAATCAGTTTCGCCCATATACGGGAATCTCACCCGGGCAACAGCATGGTAATCTTATGAAATCAGCCATAGACTGCTTATTACTCGGTAACGGATTCTCCTCCACAATATATGTAAAATCGATGAAATACGACCGATGCTGTTCATCATATGACAATACTGACGACCAACTATGAAGTATTTTGAAAGAAATCATATTCAAGTGGCATTTACGTGATATCAAATCATACAATACAGCAGGCCACGCAGTTCGCCAACAAAAACATTCTCCACACAATAATACTTCTCTCTGTGAACCACCCTGACTCAGTTCCCCATGCTTGACTCTCTTAACCATGCTCCTTTGCACCGAATGGAATCTCAAAGAGTAATACGCCGTAGTCTCTCGAGGACACAACCCAGTGGGTTGAACCCACATACATATCGTGGTACATCACGACTCAACTTCGGAGTCAATGATGAATGGTCTAAGAAACGCGTTTCTCATTAATCCTATAACTGATACTTTTCATACTTTCTATACGCTTCAACCCCTCCAGACTCATCGATTGACAACAAGCTCCAAATTTTGGGCTGGAAATCGACCATTTGTGACAATTTTGGCATGACTACCTCTTCCTCGTAAGACGCTTGGACCTTGTAAGACTTTTCATAATAATACGGTATAAATTCTGTCCGG